GTTTACATAATATAAAGGTGTTTAATATTCTTAATATATATATGTATTTTTACAGCTTCATTCGGCCAGAGTTGTAAAAGAACAACAATGGAGAATGAAAAGACTTTCTCGTGAAAATCTTGCTTATTGGAAGAGATCAAAGAGAGTTGATAGAGAAATTCGGCGAAAACTGGAGAAAGAAGCAGAAGAACAACGAAAAATGGATTTTGAATTGATAGAGGCGAAGAGGCAACAACGTAAATTGAATTTTCTCATAACCCAAACTGAATTATATGCCCACTTCATGTCTAAGAAGTTAGGGAAAGCTTCACCAGAAGAACAACTGCGGATCTTAAGTCAACTAGATGAAGAAAAGAACCCAAGGTTACTAAGTATTGATGACTATGATAGGTAAATATAAATTTCAATTTTTGTATGAAGTGTACAGGAATTTTGAATTTTAGTGAAGCCATGAAAGCAAAAGCAAAGAGAAATGCTGAAGAAGCATTTTTTAGTGAACGTCAACGCACCCGAAACTTTGATGTAGAGGCAAATTCGACTATAGAGAACAAAAAGACTGACTCTACTGAAGGAGAGCATCCACAACCGTTACTTTTTCGGGGAAGTCTGAAAGGCTATCAATTAAGAGGAATGAATTGGCTTGCAAATTTGTATGATCAAGGCATTAGCGGTATTTTAGCAGATGAAATGGGACTTGGAAAAACTGTACAAAGCATCGCCTTTCTTTGCCATATAGCTGAAAAATATTGTATGATTTTGTAGTTGACGTTTATTTATTAAGTAATAATGCAAAACTTTATTTGTAGCTGTTTGGGGACCTTTTCTTATTATATCTCCAGCCTCCACTTTGCATAATTGGCAACAGGAAATCGCCAAGTTCGTTCCCGATTTCAATGTAGTGCCATATTGGGGCAATCCTAATGTATGTCTTATTTAAATATACCTCGAAGCAATTAATTAATTAATAATTATTTAGGAAAGAAAAATATTACGACAATTTTGGGACCAGAAAGATATGCACACAAAAGAGGCCAGTTTTCACATTGTAGTAACAAGTTATCAAATTGTTATAACTGACATAAAATACTTCAACAGAATTAAGTGGCAGTATATGATTTTAGATGAAGCTCAAGCAATTAAAAGCACTAACAGGTCTGTAGTTTTTACTGTTTTGTCTTTATACTTATTTAACTGCTTTATTTAATGTAGCATGAGATGGAAAACGCTTTTGGGGTTTAGCTGCCGAAATCGTTTATTACTTAGTGGTACTCCTATTCAAAACAGTATGGCAGAACTTTGGGCGCTTCTGCATTTTATTATGCCAACACTTTTTGATTCACATGAAGAATTTAATGAATGGTTTTCAAAAGACATCGAGAGTCATGCGGAAAATAAAACAGGAATAGACGAAAGTAAAAGCATCATTATTCATTCATCATTTTTCATAAAATATTTTTCGTTTTTTTATAATTTCAGAACATTTGTCTAGACTTCATATGATTCTAAAGCCTTTTATGTTGCGGCGAATAAAAAAAGATGTCGAAAATGAATTATCAGATAAAATAGAAGTTATGGTTTACTGCCCTTTGACAACTCGCCAAAAGCTACTTTACATGGCACTAAAACAGAAAATTCAAATCGAGGATCTTTTACATTATACAGTTGGGGGAGGGGATTCTCATGTAGTTGATAAAAATTTCACGTCTAATCTAATGAATTTAGTAATGCAGTTTAGAAAAGTATGTTTTTCTTTAGAAAATAGTTAAAACTGTTAATATGTAATTATAATTTTCTACAGGTTTGTAATCATCCAGAACTATTTGAACGAAGAGATGCTAAATCTCCACTGTTTATGTCACCCTGTGTGTATCAAATTCCTTACCAAGTTTACGATTTTAACCCACGTCTAGAAAAATTTTTGATACTAAAAAAATATTTTCTATTTACTCCGGAATATATACACAATGCTATTACCGACGTTGGTTCCATATTCAATTTCTGCATTAGTTTGAAAATGTCCGCACAGGAATTGTATTCTATTTTCCAAGGATGTATTGTTCAAAGGTAGTTTAAAAATTAACTGAGAAGTGATTTGCGAGTTTTAAATAATTTTTTTAGGTTGAAAAATTATTATTCAACAGAACAAAGAAACTACAATTTATACTATCGTGATTATTGGTCTAAAAATGTAGAACAAAGCTTGAATTTCAATCCGTTTTTTAAAATGACCCCTGCATATTTGGATTCTAACGTAAATTTAAAGATGTTGGTATTTACTTGGCAAAACACAAAGAGTAGAGTTGTTTATGTACATTCTACTCATCACTATTACTCGATGCCTGAAACGCTTGAGCACAGGAAAATTAGATGCAAAGGAGCAACAGAAGAAAGTGATCAAATAATAGATGTCGTAAATGATGAATTGGTGAGCACTGACAGTAATAATTGTTTTTACTAATAAAATTAATTTAATTGAATTTCTAGAGAAGCGTGCCATCTACTAATTCTTCAATTTCCAAAGAATTTTCTTATAGAGAACGATCTCCCCAAGTATTCAATTGTCAAAGGACAGAGTTACCCTCATTTCTATTTTGTTATCTTCCCAAGGTAATTAATTCGATTATCATGAGTAAGTCTTAGACAATTACCTAATTAATAATTTTAGCTGGAAGTTTGTTCTGCAGTACTTTACTGTTATTCAAGAAGAGTTGCTTGGGATTGGAAAAAACATATCGACGATTATTCTTTCAATTCCTTCAACTCCTATTGGTCACAAGCTCTTGACATTGAGACAAATTATTCTAACGCTAAATACTTCAGCGTTTTTATAAATAATCCATTAGATACATTAAAATCTACTAATGGTTGGTCCAATATTTTAATACCAGGTGAAAAAATTGCTTTAAATTGTTTGTTTACATAATATAAAGGTGTTTAATATTTCAGATAAAGAAACTTTAGTAACAGATTCGGGCAAACTTAGTGTACTTGATAGTTTACTAAAACGACTTAAAGAGGAAGGACACAGAGTTCTGATTTATTCCCAAATGACGAAAATGATAGATTTACTTGAGGTACAAGTGATGATGACAAATGTGCTTAGTGTATAAATGCTAAAATTTAATTAAATTTCTAGGAGTATATGTGGCATAGGCATCATAAATACATGCGCTTGGATGGCTCATCAAAAATATCAGAAAGAAGAGATATGGTTGCCGATTTTCAAGCAAGGGCGGATATCTTTGTATTTTTACTGTCCACAAGGGCGGGTGGACTTGGTATAAATTTAACAGCAGCTGATACGGTAAGTTGTAACTTTAAATAATTAAAACTCTTTATTAACGTGAATTAAAAAAAGATTATTAAAAGGTTCTTAATACGTATTTAAAGTGAAATAGAATAAATAGGGAGTACTTCTGTGATGTGTTTAAAACCAGTATGAGGTAAGTTACCACCTACTCATTGTCGATTTATATTGCAATATTAGTGTAGTAACTGAGCTTTTTGAAATGTTATTGGCATCTGTGAAATAATCGGTGCAATTAATTAGATATTTCTATTACTTTTGGAAGTAAAATATTTTCTTTGGCTCTAAAAAACGTAATCTTTCCGTAACAAAAATGTTATTTAATCTATTTAAGCTTGCAGATGCTCAATATTTACGTAGAGTTTTTTTATTTGATTTCTTAAATTGCAATCGTAATAAACCTATTATAACTCCTACTATAGTTATAACCGTTGAAAGTACGACGTTTTGTACGTTGAATGTTACATAATCGAATTGTAGCGGAGTTTTGCTCTATTTGATTTATTGAAACAAAAAAGAATCATAAAAGAGCAACATTATTTCATTGAATAATTCGTTCCTAATAGCGCGGCTTTATATTATTTCTCAAGATTCCGTTTAATTATTTTGCATAATCAAAAGACCCCGTTATGCATACAATCAAGGTGGCTTATTAATAGTGTTTAGGCTTAGCGTGAGAAAAATATACCGACTATTTAGATACAATGCCTGCATACAGCGAGTCGTTCATACGTAGTTTATATTGCAACTCTGTCTGTCCCCTATGCAAATTAGTTTTCCTCTAGTTTTCACAGTAAAATGAAATGAAAAACGTGCCTGGAATGAATAACTAGAGGGCTCACTGTTGTTATTCAACAGGTGAACTAGCACTGTCGCGTTTGTCTTTATGATCTTTTGACGTAATAAAAGGAAAAGTAGGATTTCTAGAAATAGTAAATAAATTCGTTTTTGTTAGCGCGCGCGTTTTTATTTTTTTATTTTCTTAAGTTAAAAAGTGATGTTTAATTTTTATTAAATTAGTAAGCAAATAAAGAGAATTGGGGTAAAATTCGTATTAATTACTATTAAAAAATCGCTCTGTGTAAAATGAAGAATGCAACACCGTTATTTCTTCATGGGCAGAAATAATAATTTGTCTTCTGCTTCCCACAATTAAGATGAAATCGAAAGGCTATGCCAAATCGGATAAAATATTAAAAAAACTTACATTGACTTGCAGTGAACACCCTCGTCCTATGTTTTGGCTGCGATGTTTTTTTTGCATTCCAATATATCATCTTCTATACTGCGGCTAATAAGCTGAAACAGAAAAGAAAACATTACATTTTGCTTTACTTTTATTACTTTTATTACTTTTTTCTAACAAAGACGTTCGAGAGAATACAACATACATGTGATATTTTATTATTATTTACCGATTATTACCTTTTTTATATTGTGATATATGTAATGTGTACAGTATGTCGCATATTATATGTACTAATGTACAACAAACATACAGAGTGGAACAAATAAGTTATGTTTGTATTTTTTTAAATAAGTTTGTAGAAACGTTATGATTTTTTTTATTCTGAAACGGGCGTTGAAATTAATGTATATTACGTTAATAAAAAAAATTCTATTTTCTTGTACTTCCTCGTTACCCCTATATAACTTTTTTCTCTCGATATAATTATTTAAACGAAAAAAAAACTCATATGTGTACCTATTATTTAAAATCATTTTCTGGGTTTGTATGAATTTTTAATCAGCAGTCGTTTGCGAGGCTCATACGGAGACGTAAAGACTACAGTTCGCATTTTTATCGGGATTTAATACGTCGAAGTTTAGCCACGTACTTCGTAAAGCATGCTGGGAGAATATCGCGAACAGCGGTTCTCATAATAAAAGTACAGTCGGTCTCGTCCGACATAAGACAGACAACACGAAGAAGTTCGTCGGTCGACCAAGAAGACGACTACTTGCAGCCAAACTGTCGCGTATTCAGTTGTCGTCAATTTTCTTCGCTAAATCAAATTCCGCAATATCTACACATTTATTCCGTTACAAGTTAGCCAAAAAAAAAAAATACAGAAATGAGGTAGATGACCCCAAAATCAAATATTATATTACGTATCTGGAACAGTTGTTATTTCGAAAAATAATGTAAATGTATTGAATAAAAATGCCGTATGAAAGAAATGCACTTAAAAGTGATTTTTACAAGTATTTTACGCAAGTCGGCAGTTTCTTGTTAGTCTGTAACATTAGTTTTTAAAAGTATTTCAAATGAGCCAACTTGACCGACCGACTTTAGGCTTCTTTGCATAGACAGGGCAAGGTTACAAAATAAAAGGAAAAAGTTGCTAATTTGTGTGAACATTCTTATAAAAGACGTTGGAATTTTAGCTCGAGCAAAAACAATTCTGAATGGTTTCGTAAGAAAGAACGGCATTTCATTTATTTCTTATTCGATCTACTGTCGGCCCGGCGAAGCTGCTGATACATTTAATTGGCGACATAACTTTTGTAATTTAAGTATTTTTTCCAACACACAGCGAGACAGTCGAGAAATATTAGTGTAACTCCTTTCTAAAAGGTAGTATTTTACCTGGACGAGCTAGTTCGGAAAGGACAAATTTGAAGATTCTTCGTGAAAAAAAGTTTTTGGATGGATTTAAAATATTCGCACAATTATCTTTACTCTTACTGTTGGTATCTTACATCTTCTGTTAATATCGTTTTATTTTCTTTCGTGGGCTTTAAACCAATGTGTTAGTTATAGTTTATGTTTAGTGTAGGATTTATAGAAAATACTTCCTATCGTGCTTTGCGGTTTAAGTTTCGATGTCGTTTTAAGTGGTTAATATTTAAGGGAAGCGTTTGCACAACCCAACTTCCGTTTAGCTCAGTTTCTAATGTTATAGTTTAAAGGACCGAAAAAGGGGGGCGTATGTACACGTAATTTTAAGTGTACTAACAGAGAATCCGTAAACAATCAAGGAGTATCGGCTGCAGGATACTCGAAATGCAACCACTTTGTGTAGAGATTGTTCTTGCATAACAAACCGGATATAGTGAGTGGTTCCAAGGCCACTTCCTGCCATTCGCACGTGTAGAATCAGGTACAGTTCGGGGGGGCCGCCACCCTCTCGAATTGATGCTTTTGCCAATGTTGTACACGTGTTAAAGCTTCTTCTTTTCGTCGTTTATCCTTTTGTTATATTCGGTTGCACACCTCTAATTTGGCATACGAACGGATGTAGACACCTTCTCAATAGTGTCCTATCCCTTTGTAATGTTTCATTTAACATTTTACGTCTTTTGTCGGCAAAGACAATGACCGCCGCAAAACTACATATGTATAAGCGTAAAGTGAATTAAGCACCACGAAGAAACCCAACTACTGAATGATTCACAAAGTTTTACGAAATCGGCGGACTTTTTACTTACTTTATTCCAGCGCTGATTTTTCATATTCCATTATCATTCAGATAATATCTATGTAACTTAAATGTTATCTGAGGATTGAATATTTTGAAAATAGGCCAGTCAATTGATATATTTGCCTACATATTAGGTAGGGGCTGCAGGGGTAAATGTTATACTCAGTTTCGTGGTCGCAATGCCCTCCATTGGCATAATTCATTTTAGAAATATTAAATCTTTATTACTATTACTATGAGAGTACTACGGGTTGGAGATACTTCAAAAGATTGAATTGCATCCCTTTTTCGAGATAGCGGTTAAATGTGTAGAGAAGGGGTGTTACGGCCATCGAAACTGAATTTGATACATGCAAAAGAAAAATTGCTGTCTATCCGCTTTTACTCAAACTCTTATAGTCTAGGTATTTTGTCGGATGTTAGGTGGTCGACATACTGCCCAATAGTCTCATTATTTTAGGTAATATTTTACGACAGTGATTGGAATCCAACTGTAGATCAGCAAGCGATGGATAGAGCACATCGTTTAGGGCAGACGAAGCAAGTAACTGTTTATCGTCTGATTTGTAAAGGTTCAATCGAGGAGAGGATATTACAACGAGCCCGTGAGAAAAGCGAGGTAAACATTTTGCTTTTTCGGTTTTCTCGGTTAAAAGTCGTACCTACATTAATTCAATCTTGCATTGCATTGAATAAATTATAATTTAATTTTTTACGCTTTAAAAGATACAAAAATTGGTAATCAGCGGTGGAAATTTCAAACCAGATACTTTAAAGCCAAAGGAAGTGGTTTCGTTGCTTTTAGATGATGAGGAATTAGAACAGAAATGTGAGTTAAAAGTTAGTATTTTCTTCATTCGTTGATTACACGTTTCGAGTTACTTGTAGATCGACAGAGGACAGAAGAAAAGCGCCAGTTAGAAAACTTACGGGAAATGGAAAGGAAAAGGAGTCATCTGCTAGCTTTCAAGGTTGGTGTGTTTACATTAAACCTCGTTTTATATAGATATTCGTTGTTAAGACTTATGACAGTTGGCTTACACCCGGTATAGTTGTGGTCAGTGCGAAATTTAATGTAGCCATTCGGTTAGACGAAGAGCCAGTAGTTGATAATGCATTTTCGCTCGACTGGCGACACTAATGGTCTATTTTCCGGTTGAAGGCCGTGCAGATGTCTGGTCTGGAAACGAAGCGTGTTAAACACCCACAGCAGCTACACCAGCAGCAGGATAACTCTGGTTCTCTCGAAGGGGGTAACACTATCAGTCTGGAGGATCAGCAACATCTTCAGCAAGCAACCATCATCAATATGGATAGCGGCCCTAACAGCCCTCGGAGCGACAATTCTCCAGTGCTGACAGCATCTGATGACCTCAGTGACGGAAGCTTCTTAGACGTCGAAGGCGACTCATCTATCAATAGCAGTAAGTCTATGCCAGTCAGTTGGTCACATTTGCCAATTGGTGTTTATAATTCTTGTTTTCTTTTATTGCATCGTTTAGAATATACGGTTTACAACCTGTACGGTTCTACTGTGAAACCTCGTTTTCCTGGTCGAGGCACTTCAAAACGAGGCAGACCCCGAGGTTCACGAAGGATGTCAGCTCTTGGTCGTTTTAACACCAATTCTTCCACTATCAATGTAACTTCCATTCCCAGCGGTATGTTTTATTTGTTTTTTATTAAGTCGATTTTTAAAATTTGAACAATAACCAATTAACACGCCACAATTTTTGTGTTTTCGTTTCTTAATTGGTTTGAACGTCAGGTTGAGAATCGTGGGAATTTTACGCAGTAATAATTATTGCCACTACCGATTATGTAAGTCGACTTAGTTTAAAGCAATTGGAGAGAAGAATCGGTTATTATAATAATGAATTGGTATTCGCAATGCGTTGTGCACATGTACGTGCATATTTGAATGTACATTACATGCGTGTCTTCCACGCCAGTAACCCTCGCTACCTGCAAAAAATATTCGTGTTCTTCCCTCTTGTTTAGTTCAATAGATTTCCTTGAGGATATCCGCCAGATGCGCGGAGGACGGCTAAAAAAGCTTAGTTGTTGACAAAAACTACGATCTCCGAACGATACCTATCATGCAAATAAAGGATGTATACGGAGTACCACCTAAAAGTACCTGTAGTACTTGATTCACTGCCAAAAATAAAAAAAATAAAAAACAGACCAGATTTAATTCGCGATTTTAAAAATCTACGGCGCCTCTATGTACCGATTTCTGCTTCTGGTTTTTAAATTTTGAGCGACGTGAAGTTCTATCGCAAATTAATTTAAAAAAGAATTTAAAGAGATAAAAAACACTTTGTTTCACAAAATTCCAATGAACAATTATCGGAAACTAAATGTTTTATCGTTTTAGAAATTCTACTTTGTATTTTTTTTTTCTATAATAGACTCGGCTATTGGTTCTTTTGAGTCCAGTAATTCCATGCAAAATATATCGTCATTTGATGTTCCTGCATCAACATCTCAAGTATTGAGCGTGGCTTCGTTACAAAGTACGTCAAGCGTAGAAAGTAGTCCCACAGCGGTTCGTAGAGGACCAGGTAGACCGCGTTTAAAACCTGGTGGTCCTCCACACACCGGTACAAGAGGAACATATAGGCCTAGAAAACCCGCAAGACCTTTACCTGTTCCTTTACCATCAGATGGTGGCTCAATAGCTAATCCTAGTACTGCCACCCCTTCGTATACCAGCTATTTGTACGAATATACTGATCAACACTCTTCGGATAGTTGAAAATAAATTTACGTCACTAAGAGTGACGGTGTATAAGTATAATATTGTAAAATATTTTTTAATGATCGGTTTTTTTTTACAACAAATTTGTCAATTTTTTTTCCATTTTCTATTTTAATAATTACTTTTATTTATACTTATGTATAACAAAATTTGAAACACGTTTTCTTTTTTATTTATTTTTGAATATTGCCATTGTACATAATATACGGTATTTAAGTAATTTGTAAGATATCGTATTTTTTTAAAGTTGAAAACATCCTCAAATAGGGTGTTTCTATTAAAAAACCATTGTAATCTGGTTATAATGTGCTTACAACAGTTTCAGTATTACACATTTTTAAAGTAATAATCTAGAACGTACGTGTTGTATACTGTTTTGTAAGGCTGTGATTTTTTTTACGTATTAAGAGATGTTCTCTTCTTATTTCTCTCTTTAATAAGTATTTTTTTTTTATTGTACCCTACAGCCATTTAAAAATATCCTATGCCAGAAAAGATTGCAGCCATCAAAAACACACTTTTTTTTGTAAATGATGTATAGATGTGGTCTTTTTTTATTTAATAAAAACTTGATATGTCATTCTTTTCGTTTACATTTATTCCTAAAGATTACCAATGTGTTTTTTGTGATTGTGTACGCCACTGGCTTTTCAACACTGACCATGAAGATTCGAATGAAATGAAGACTTTCGCTGATGTGTAAGTACAAAAAAATTCAAGGTAAGTGTATCTTAATACAAAGTAATAAAGTTAATGTCGTGGTCTAGAGTAAATTTGCTGTCCACCGTGGGAATATTAGTGGTAAGTTATGAAAATCATATGTTCGTGAATCTTCAGACCGTGAAATTATAAAAATCTACAAACCTACTTAATAGCCACTACATCATTGAGACTACTACTTTTATCTGTTGATGTATGTAATATTTGCACTTGTTTTTCGGTATTAGTTAGTAAGTAATCTATTTGTTAAAAGAATTTATCGAAAGTCCTCGTATACGCTTGTTTATAACGTTTGAATGAGGTCGTAAGATCGGGCTTGTATTTAGAAACGATTAAAATGCATCTTGAATAATTGCCAAAAAACATTCTCATAGAAATTGAGCTGTTTCAGGTTTGTAAACGAATACGTGGTTTGAATGGCGACGTATTGTAATGAATTTTTAGTAAGAGTCGTGAGTACTTTGCTGAGTGACTCAGTTTTAACTATATATTTTAATATGATACACGGTAAAATACTCGTTTTGCTTAGTAACTTGGAATATATGTACAAATTCTTTAAAAGTTGATACGAACTTAACACTAACTTAGTAATTTCATTATGAAACTTTTGCCGAAAGCTGAAAAACGTATTTTAAACGATAAGCGACTGAGTGGTTGAATTCATAGACGAAATTCACTCTTGGGGTTTAGGTATCATCCCCAACGGAAATAGCTTATCTAGATAAGCGACAAAAATAATTATCCGGCAAATACGATATCCTCTGATAGTGTTGGTCTATTTTAGAAGTAATTAAGCAGGCCATGTCGTTTTTTATTCACAGCTGATGCGCTGTAAATTATGTAAAACTTTTTTTCTTTTAGATATTTTCGTCTACTTCTATTATTATGGAACTACTTACGCTCTGGGCATTTCCTTTTCTTTGTTTTTCTGACTTTTATATCTTATACGAATCATAAAAGACACGCGCTTTACAATAAAAAATAAAACGAACGTTAAAATCGGCTTGTGTATTGGAGCGTTATCGGGGTGATGAGCAGTGGCGTAGCAAAAGCCCCGGCGCAAAGCATTCTCCAATAAATGCTGCTATTTCTCAATCAAAAAGATCTTACGTACTTGCAATGTTTGCAAAATCCATCTAAAATTTCTTTAACAGTTGTCGTGGAAAAAAAAGGGGGGAATCCCCTATCAACCGGTATTATTAGGTTGAACAGAAAAATATAATCATTTATAGGATGTATAAATGTATGTACACATGTAATATATGATACTCCGAGGTGCCTCCCTATGATCCTATAAAGAAATTGTACTTCTGATAATGGAAAATTAGATAACAAGCTCTAGAAGTGCAAATTTCTAGTAAACCAAAAAAAAATACAACTTCCTGGCGTTTGGTGCCAATCCAAACGTGAAGATCTATATTGGGAATGGCAACATCAATGTATATATGTAGATAAATGTCTAAAAAAATGTATCACTGGCAGATTGTTTCATTCAGTGATGACTATGATGAGTTGGGCTCAGGAATAGGTGTGTTTAGTGGCAGATGGGACCTTCGAGAAAACCTTCTTTGCTATTTTTGGTTACAGACACCGTGTTGCCAAATGCTGCATAAAAAAATAAGAAAAACATATGCGAACGAATGTGAAAGAAATACACAGCCTGCTACATGTAGGACAAATAAAACGCTTGTAATTAGACGCTTGAATATCCACCTTGACTGTTCCACTACCTAAGGGCAGAATTGACAGAAACATCGAAAAGGAAATGAAACACGTTTCGAGTATCTATTTGCGTTGGCGCTGACTTACAGGGTGTTAAAAAGTTTAATCATCTAGAGATGACATCGTCTAAAGAAGAACACACGAAAGCTACATGACGACAAAAAACTTAACGCGTTAAAAAAATTACAAATTCAGCAACTTCGGTCTTAAAAAAGTCAACATTCCAGTAATTAAGTTTTTGCCTAATGTCTATATGTAAAAAGTAAAAGTAAAATATTTTTAAAAGAATATCTACTTATACATTTGATACAACAATTGCATGAAATACTTCAGTTAGCAGCAGATATGAAGATATCATGTTAAGTTGCTCTGAAAAATTTCGGTAATCTATTGAGAAGTGTGCTGCTGAGATTCAATAAGATCGATATCGAGATTCACATATGGTAATATCGATTGATCGCTCACCAGGAACTTTTTGTGAATTTTTAATGTCAGATAAATATGGTGGAGGATTTGGGTATCTATGAAGAGTTTGATAACCGAACTTATTGTTTTAAATTAAGTTTTTAAATGTCGTTAGAGACTTAACAGCATGAGTCCTGCGTTCTGCCTGTTGCTGATGAGAAAAAATGATAATTTTTCGGTCTTGCTTACAAAGTGTTCAAATGGAAATTATACATGCATTAATTGAACAGCATATTACCGTAGATTGTGCAGTTCGTCAAATAATACCCAAATAATTATCGTAATTATCCTACAAAACAACGGACTGAAACTGTGGTAATTATCGCATAAAATGGTTGGAAAGTCTGGATCCATATGGCCAGTTTGGTTTTTATGAACATATTTATTATTTTCCGATTTTATCTGTGTTTCTGTTACAACGCTGGCACGAAATTGCTAAGTAACATGAAATACTTCCTTTGGCAAAATGCTGTTTCGGAACATTATGAATTTGCTTTATTTAAATTGGTCAACGGCACAGTTATAATTATTATCGTGGCTGCGATCGATATGTAATGAGGAGAGTATGAATTTTCGGGGCTCCTAATGAAAATTCGTTAAAGATAGGAACTCCGTGACCGAATGGTGCATACGTTCCGTAATTAGGGCCAATTGCCTTTATAATCACTTCGCTTTAATTTGCGATTCATGCATTCGTGGCGATTTTTGTTACTGATTACCTCGAATTCTTTTCCATACCCATCACTGTTTTACGAGCACCTTCACAACATACCGTTCGAAGGAAAAAGCTTTTTCTTTTGCCATGGGTAGTATACACAAAGTGGGGTGCTAAGTAAAGTCTCACATTTTTTAAGTATTGCCACTCCATTTGAAATGCATAAAATGGCCTTCAATTTTTAAAGTAGACACTCTCATTTGTACAAACACAAATCTGAGTCAATGTTGAGTAGATCGTTTGAGATTCTACATAAATTTTTATAAATTACAAATTGAGTAATAACCAAGTACTCATACGAAATTCAAAAAAATGTGTGTAGAATCTCTTACTGGGTAATGTTAGATAGTCGTTTCGTTTAGAAGACAGTTATTGAAATGATCTCAAATATTATTTTTCATTAAAAGTATATTCAGTTGTTTTCGATTAGGATACCTAAAATAAGTAGTTTTGTATAAATGTGTACTAAATAGCGCCGTTTTTAGCGTCTTGGAGTAACATAGCGTAGAAGTTTCTTCATGACGCAAAGCTTCCGGTCAGCCGGCATGGCTGCGGAACTACGGCTGGTGAACTACCACGGAAGAGTGGCCGGCCAAGCCAGCCCTCTGTCTTGCCGGACACCAAGAAAATAATAAGATACTGAGATACTCTAACAATAATACCACTGCAACTGTGAGGACTTCACGCTTTAACGGATAACAGTGACGTGTGCGTCTAACGCTGTTAGAACATTGTCTTGTGGCAAACGCAATCATTTAACTAACAAAGAGTAAAAAATTTATTCCGCAATGACGGTGTTATCCTAAGCTATTTTTGCGCTACCTGTTTTTCGATTTAGACGACGCCCTACACACAAGATCAATTTTTTCCATTGAAAACTAATAGATCCTTCAAAACCTTATTGAAACATTGTCAGAAGTTATTGATTCTGCTAAAATACAACCCCAATATAGACACTGACTACCCTTCGCGAATGTCATTCTTCTTCTCCTAATGAAACCTTTAGCCACTGGACATTTTTATGTCAGAACATTGGGTAATGGTTAATTCCTCCTGTAATAAAATAATTCGAAGTGGTCTGGATTCTGTCGAAACTGCCAGACGCGGATCGCGATTTCGATCTTTTTGGATCTCATCAGCGCGTCTCAGGCAGCCCGACAGAACACAGATCTCCTGTAATGTTTATAGATTGATTTCACTTAATCTCAATTTTGGTTCGAATATTGTCGGAAATAGAGAGAAGTAAATAAATGCTTTTATAGTGCATTTGCAATTATATACATACATACAAAGAACCCAAAATTTTGGAAAATATTTATAATTTCCTAATTACTTCCATCTGCTTTTTCTGAAAATTTCCTATATTGGAAAATATGATACATAAGTCACAATGTTTCAAGTTTATACATTTAATTGTTTTAATAAAGGGTTAAATAATATTGATTTTAATTAATCATCATCAGAAGGTC